TCATTTTTGGTTTGACTGAATGTTTGTGTTTGTTTTTGTTTTTTTCTAAGGATTTCCTCTTTTCTCGCAGTAACACATTATTTAGGCCTAGAGCTTATGGTGTTATAGTTGTTCAATCCCCTGCACTGTGTTATCAGACTTGGTTTTGTTATTGGATAAAGGAATATTTTGCAGGCAAATACAAACATGATTTGTTTGTTTATTGTGTGTTATACTTATCTACATTCCTGACCTGATGATCATATATTGACATCGTCTCTACCAGATCTAATTATGCCCTCCTACAATCATAAACACTAATTCTTTAGAATGCTTTACAGAATTCTCATTAAATCTCATACAAATTTCTGAATCGGTGTAACTCTCTTTAGCAACAAAACCATGAAGGCCTTCTTTCTGATTTGTTGTATTTGGTTGGTTGTTTATTGAAAACTGAATAACAGTTCAGACACAATTGTTATAATCTGTATTATAGTAGGAGTTTTTATCTTGATTTTAAATTTTTAAGTCAGATGTTTCAACGCACAAGCAGTTTTACGTTTGATTCTGAGTAAACCAAAAAAATGTACAACTTGAAAAAAGGATTTGTTGGATCTTGCAGGTTTTTGCTCTTTCTCACTTGTTTTTTTCTCTGAGGGAAATGCCCAATTACTTGTGTTTATCCAAGTACAACCTGCAGTGCAGAAGATCCAGTGCCGGTCTCCTTGAATGCATTTTCTTACTGTCGCTAATTATCTTTTTAAGAAATGTATTAGTATAACATGTGCAGTGCTGAACTGGTAATGTGTGAGTTAATTTGGTGCATTTATCCAAGAGGGGTACGCTTAGGTACCTTATTAAACCGAAGAAGCTACCTGGATAGTCTGTTTTTTTCCCTACTGATTTGTTTTTATTAAAAGTGTATGATTTTATACACTTTCATAAAATGAATGATAATGCAAATGCAGTGGCGGCTCCTGCCAATTCTCTCGGGGGGGGGCAATTCAATTGTCACCCATTCAATTGATAAATTAACGGTTAGTTAAAGATGTAAAGGAAACTGAACTACTATAGTATTAATTAAAAATAACAATCAATCTCTTGCTCTCCTTATGTTTCTATATGCGCGTTAACACAATTCAGCAGCAAATTAAGACTGAAGCCAGGATGTGGTTTTCCAAAAAAAAACGTTTTACTTCAATTTCAGTTTAATAAGAAATAATTGAAGTCACATAAATCACTATTTACACAACTCCCTTATATTACACTGCTCATTTACAACATTACTCACTTATATTACACAGCTCATTTGTATTACACTGCTCACTTTTGCACTGCTTACTTACATTACACTGCTTACTTACATTACTCACTTTCACTGCTTACTTACATTACTCACTTACATTGCACTGCTTACTTGCATTACTCACTTATACTGCTCACTACATTACACATGTAGTTGTCCATGCCATGTTCGTCACGCTCTCGGGATGGAACAAAATGCAGGGGTAACGTAGCAGAATAAAGAGTTAGCTACTTCGCAGCCCGCTAGCCATTTTTTCCGCTCATACCACGTCCTCGAAAATCCCCGTTTATACGACTTCCCGCCCTTTGTAGATACATGTTTGATGTTTAAATTTGGTCTTGGTGGTCCTAATTCTTTAATTGACAATTTATCCTTATTGCTACACCCGCCCTTGTAGATACTTATTTGATGTTTAAATTTGGTCTTGGTGGTCCTAATTCTTTAATTGCTACGACGACTGAATGGTATTTCTTTCAATGACACGATAGAATTCATCTGCGCTGAGGTGGCATGATGACGAAAGCACGTTAGTGCTAGCCCTCCCAGAACCGTTTTTATACAGTCTGTGCCCAGAACTCATAGAGATTGCATTGCAGTGTCTGCAGTTCGAAAAAAATGATCTTTGCATGGAAGTCTAAATATGAGAGCACTCAGGGCGATTCTCAGTCTGACAGAAATCGGTCAAAAAGGGGCGGTACTACACAAAACGTGACTCGACGCTGATTGGACTATTTAGAGGCAGAACAAACAGTCTAGAATAGTGAAAGCTAGCGTAACACTGTGGTTGAATGTGAAAGAAAAAAAAATCCTCCCTTTTGCGCTTTGGTGGTGTGTCGCCCAATCGCCCTAATGGAGAAACCGCCCCTGTTCAAATGATATCCACTGTAATGTGGGATAAAAGGAACACATTTCTCATTTTCTTTTGGATAAAGGGGGATTTTAAACCTTACTGATGGGTCACAGAGACAATTTCAGCCAATGTGGGTGAGAGACAATCCTCTGTGTTTTCTTCGTCACACTTGCAATAATCTCTTTTTTTCCCTCTTTTTTTCCCTCTCTCTTGTGCCATTTGTGTTTTGCTCCCTTTCTCCTCCCCTCCATTGTGTGCATGTTACTGCGCTGATAAGGGCTTCACTTTGGCAGTGGCATAAAATAATCTCCTTTTTGATGTGACCACATCATGAATGGATTCAGCAGATTAAGTGGAAAAGGCAATAATTCTAAAAATTATTAACGTCCTCTAACCGAAAATGCTATAAATAATTGGATAAAATCAAAGCAGTGGTCATTACTGAAGTGCTCATTTAGAGAAGTAGAAAACGGCCTGCTAAGATTGAGACCAATTGCCCTCTCGATAATAGCATGAAGCCATGAGCCATTAAATGACACTTTGAAGTAACTGAGAATAAAACCAGGCCCTAATTTCTTGACAGGAGAAGGAATGAAGCAGCAGATCGCATTTAATTACCCACCTTGTGTACTGTATCACTGCATAACAACATCCTGTCAGGGATCCAGGACCCGAAATACTGAGGAGTTACAGGAGTTGAAATTCTGTCATTTCTTTCTTATCTGAAGACAAGTTTTGCTTATTTCGCCGATATTTTTTTCCCCCCAGAAACATTAGGCCTAAACCTGTTCCAAAACCTAATGAGCTGCCTACATAGACAACGTTATAGGCACACTGTCAATGTGAAGGCCTTTCAAGTTTTCTTTTAGTTTAAGATATAAATCAATTATAATTAACAGTTTTATTATACATTTACCAAATTTATTGTTACACTTTAATCCGTCTTTATACTTTTATTTTTACAGATCGTGGTTTGTTTCTCTAGGTCCATGACTCCATGTAGGCATTTGTGCTTTGAGAAGAACAGATTGGCCACTTCAGAGCTACCTCTATCTTGGGAGAAAAGTTACTGCTTCTAGCTATTTGTATCTAGCCATATGTTCATCTTTATAAAGCAGTGTGTGGGTTTGTGTACATGGTAGACTTGTAGTGGTTGCCTTAAAAGTTGTGTGTATATTCCTTCGAGGGGGCTATTAATTGTATTGCTCATTATCTAGCAGGCATTGATTGTGCACAGTGTCCGGCATTCAGAATGCTTCTGCACTGCTAATTGCATCTGCACAGTTACATTGAATTAAAAGATAAGACTTCTCTCATTGCAAGATTACAGGATTTAAATGTGTTGGATACACAGTCTCGCATACTCGCACACTATTGCTTATGGTTATAATAATGGAGATAGTAACGGAGTTGACTAAGACATGAGAGACAAAGCAAAGTTATCGATCTTTTTTTTTACAACAAGCACACATTCACACACATCTGTTCTGTATGATTGCATGTGCAAGAGTTTAATAGAGTCAAATGAATCTTAAGGAGGATTTGTCTTTATTCCATGTTTTCACTAAACTCTAGTAGTTTTTTTTAAAGGCAAGAGGTCGTGTGACATCTTTCGTTGATGGACATTATTTCCTGAATTCAGTTTCTGTGTAGTAAGTCTAATCTCACTCTGTATTACTGCATCTCTGGAGTTTCTGAAAAGAAATTAATACATTTATATTCAGCGAGGAGGCATTAAGCTGATCGAAAGTGACAGTAAAGAATTACAATGTTACAAAAAAACATTTAATTTTCGAATAAATTGTGTTCTTTTGAAGTTCATATTCATCAAAGAATCCTGAAAAAATGTATCACAAAAATATTAAGCAGCACAACTGTTTTTTTTAACAATAATAAGAAATGTTTCTTGAGCACCAAATCAGCACATTAAAATGATTTCTGAAGGATCATGTGACACTGAAGACTGGAGTAATGATGCTAAAAATTCAGCTTTGCCATAACAGGAATTAATCTTCTTTCAAAAACTTGAGCAGTAGTGTAGGTTAATTGTATATTACTACTAATAATACCTCACACACCGTATGTTTCTTTAGACTTCCTGAGCCCTGAACCTGTGCTCACCACTGGATGGTGTTAAAGTTGCTGTTTAATATGCCACCTTGTGCTTTAGCCTTTTCATATTCACTGTTGCACTAATTAAGATGTTATTAAACAATACATTAATCTATAACGTTTCACAGTTGCTGTGCTGTGAGAGCACCCATGGGCACAGATTCCAATTGTAAAGCACACTAAGTGTAACAGCTAAACTTCAACACATTAATTTTTTGGCTGTAAAAGGCTTTTTACCTTCATTCAGCATGAGAAGCAGAGGCTCGCCATGAATGAGAATGAGAACAGAGTCCAGCAGGCTTGTTCAATGTTCTGAAAAAAGATGAGATTGTTAACGTTCCATGTGGCATGTCAGTGTCTCCATATGAGATGCAAAAAAGCAAAACTACGACAGTGTTGTAATTCACTGTACTTACATTCTCTATATCAAACTCAAATTAACATGGCAATATTTCTTGCTCACTTGGTGAAATATTTCGAAATCTCATTCTCGCAAGAGCTGGCACACAGGGGACTCATTACCATATAAATGTGTTCCATGCACTCGTTTCATTGGGAAGACTTGTCTGCTACAGATTCAGGAGCTGTTTGCTTTGCAGATCTGTAAATGGAATGGCATAGGCCAGTCTTTAAACACATGATCCAGACAGGGAGTTGTAGAAATCCCTTCACCTCGCATCTCTTCTGATTTTCCAGATGTTTTTTTGTCATTCTCATTATTCCCTATTTCTGGTCTTCTTTTTGTCTTGTCAGATATGAGGGGTCCTCCAGGCCACTGGATGTCATGTGGTCACCCGTGTGCTGAACATGCTGTGTGGAACCCCAAATTCTGTGTGGTCACTGACTATCAAATGCTGCTGCTGGACAGAGAGGAGGTATCATACACACTGACACAGAAAGAGCCTTTTCTCATGCTTCACACATGTCCGTACAATTTTTCTGAACTGGCTATGGTATTTACATCCATTTCTGGTGATCTGATCAAGTGGACAGTGATAAATATACTGTAGGTGTAAACAGGTTTCAAAACATTTTGTCATCGGGTTACTGAAACCAGATTAGGTGGTGGTTAGAAATGCATAAGATCACATTGCATCTCTCATATATTTAGGAAGGAAACGTCACTGAACAGCTTTGGTATGCCTTTATCGATACTGATCATGTGAATCACATCTGAAGTTTAGTTATAGTTTTTTTTTTTTTTTTTTACAAAAAGAATGATTTTAGTCAAATATTTTGCTGTAAATGTCTTGTTTATGCTAATATTTAAACTAAAAAGTGTATTTGGGAGTAACAGTGGCTATTTTTGTATTTTTTTGCACTTAAAGCAGCACTATGTAACTTTTTCTGTGTTCGAAATTTGCAAAATGTATATAATGAGCGAGTGATCATGAATTCATCTTCCAAACTGTGTTTTTGTCTTATTCCGAATCACTACGGTACACTTATAATAAGTACTTATATTTGGACTATTGTAGCTTGGTCGGGTCGTCACCGCTGCGGAGTAACACATACCTGCGTGAATCGCCATAGACATAAACTTAGAGAAGTAGCTCCGGTTGGAATGTTAAATTAAATTAAATAAATTTATGCATTTAGCAGACGCTTTAAGCGACTTGCAGTGCATTTAGGCTATACATTTTTTATCAGTATGTGTGTTCCCTGGGAATTGAACCCACGACCTTTGCGCTGCTAACGCAATGCTCTACCACTGAGCCACAGGAACATGTTCTTATGCAGAAAGAATTGCAGCAAACTTCATATAAATATGTTAATATAAAAATATAAACTTAATACAAAAATATATTTTTATGTTATATCTATACAGGGGCGTAGCCATCATTTCAGAAGTGAGGGGGACAGAAATGTTATATATATATATATATATATTTAAAAAAATAATAATAATAAATATATATATATATTACAACATTACAATATAACATTTTTGTAATCTATATAACCTACCAGTCAACAGTTTTTGCAATTTCCTCATATGACTTTCTGCGAGAGAGCACCTCCGGCTTCGAGTATGAATGAAACATACACTGCACGGAGTGTTTAGCGCTCCGCGATGTTCATCTCGCCTTATTCTGGGTCCGAATAAAACATCAGATCATGCACAGACTATCCTGTCTCTTTGAATTTAAATCTATATTTATTCACACGGGCTCTTGAAAACCTCTATGCGAACACACTTGCCCGAAAAAGTGCGGGGGATGAATTTACGTGATATTAAAAGTGGGGGGGACACGTCCCCCGCGTCCCCCGCGTAATCTACGCCCCTGTATCTATATTATTATTATCTGAATTTTACTATTATATAAATGGCTTCTGAAAATTCACCTTTGCAATCACAGAAATAAATTACACTTTCACTTTGCTTTCTTGCACAGTAACAAATACTTAAAAGAAAAAACATATAAAATATAGTATAGTATAATATAATACAATATAGAAAAAAGAAGGGAAGAGGCAGAAGGGCAAAGTATTTTGTGCTGGTTGTGGGACTGAACTAGTGCAAGCACATGAGAGCGAATAGCGTGTTAGCTGTGTCATTGTGACATGTGCAGAAGTGCGGTACATCAGCAGGCTCCCTGAGCTCTTTTCGGCCTGGCAGACAAGACACACGGCGTTCCACAGGCGCAATCAATAGATGGCCCACACTTGCAAAGAATATATGCTTTGTACCGTGGTAGATAAAGAGTTTTCCACTCACACTGTATGTCGAACCCTCTGTTATCAGCCAGACAGCAGCGCTGTAATAAATCTCCACTCCTTTAGTACTGGCCAGGCAGAGCAGTGGTAAATGATTTTCTGCTGAATGTGGAGCAAAAGACAGATTCTCTTCTGGCAATATCAAATCTTTAATGCTTGGAGAAATTTGTTTATGTACTTACAGTACTTGTAAGATGATTTTTAATTAAAAAAAATGTTTTTACGTATATATATATATATATATATATATATATATAT